ATTTATATCATATATAAAATACAGAAGAGAATATGGAATATTTAATGAAATATAGAATTGAGAATGTGAATTGTAGAAAATAGAATATAGAATAAACAACATAGTATATAAAATAAGAATATAGAATATAGAGTGTCACTAAGCGTGCAAGCAATCACAGTTAATCTTATTGACATCAAGTTCCGTTGAAAAATTCTCTAAAGAAGATGTTGATCTATTATAATATATATACATATATATATATACATACATATATATATATGTATATATATATGTGTTTGTAAAACACTCTCATTTGTATTACTCCCACAAACGCTGACGCAAAAGCAGTTAACCTATTAACAATAAATATAAGATGTCGATATGCATTGTAAGAAATATCCCGCAGGCATTGAAATCTCAGAGCACAGATTATTTTATGACCCGATGGAAAATTGCAAATTAATTTTAATAAAAACGAATACACCTTTAAGGATAATTTAGATTTGATTGTTTTCCAAAATTTTAACTAAAATACAATATCTCGCTTGTCTAAAAAGAGCTGTGTCTTCTGTCACAAAGAATTGGTGATTACCCCGGCATATGTCAGGGAAAAACAAGGATACCCGGTGTCAACGATGGTGAAGAATTTGAAGCAACCGATGTAAGTGGGTGATGTAAAACATGAGAAAAAAAGAAAAAGCTAAGAAACAATGTAAAAATATAATAACCGCAATTTTTAAGCAGTTGATCCCAAAGTCCTTGTTTATCAGAAACTAAATTCTTTCTCCATCTTTTTCTCTCTCTATCTATCTCTCTCTCTTATTTTCTATATCCAACTTGTCCCCTCTTTCTATTACTGTCTTCATCGATGTCTCCGATCTCTTGTATTTTAAATATTTAATCGATAAAATCCGTGACGTCAAACATGTATAAAATCTTTGATTGTAAGAATAACCCCAAACTGCTCTTCTGCTCTTCACTGATCTATTTCTGCTTCCTCTCTTTCTCTTCATCTATCACTACTTATTCTAAATCAATACAAAGTTTCTGTGTATTTATAAAAATATTGTACAAGAACTTGTATATATGTATACAAAAAGATTATGACCTTTAAAAGAAAGTTATTCCGGAATTCTTTAATGATTTCGTTTTGCTCTCTATTGTTGTTGTACTATTACAATTTTTCTAAACTCTGCTCCAGCACAAATTTATATGACTTTTTTCCTATTTTTTTATTAATATTTAATGTGCAAAAATTATTTGTAAATACACCAAAATATTTTTAATATGTTTTATATATATGAAATGACTGGGCTAGGAGCAGGGCCACAGGGGCTTCGTTAGTCAAATGAATGAAAATTGCATTTTTTTTTTTTTTTTGTTCAAATTTCTTCGTTAAAACCATTTGCGGCACCGGGTTAAACTTGTTGCTTTTTTGAAATGGCGTGAGGCATACGGGGGAATTAAAATTAAAATCACGAGTTCAAGAAAAGCCCGCTCCTGGCTTAGATTACCTTAACATACCAATCACTCATTACTTATTTATTATACAAACATTCAAACACCCTACGTAAATAGTATCAATGTGATCGGTTTTAGTCAACAAAGAACAACAAAAGCAAACAAATTAATTCATCTCGTTACTGTTAGTCAACGTTGTCACTTGTTCAACTTCGTGTGTGGACGTTAAAAACGAATGTCTTTCAAGCGCAAAAAAAAACTTCATCATATTCATGTAAATATTGTAAATTCTTTCACACGCAGAAATGTGCTTCTTGACGGACAACATTTATGATTACCATAACGTATCCCAGGGCAAAGTTACAGTCGCTAGTATCGATGACTCTGAAGAATTCCAGCTTACCGATGTAAGTTTTCCAAAAGCAAAAAAAACAAAAAAACAAAAAAAAGAAAATAAGCAAAAAAAAAAAAAAAAAACAAAGCAACCAAAAAACAGGTGAAGGCAACAACACCAGGCGGTTACATATACGTAAACCAAGCATCAGCACACACCTTATATATGTTTTTACACCAACACATTGGTCATTGACAGTAACTCTGCTGAAACCTTTTTCAACAATCGTTCAGAGTTGCGTTACTTAACACAGTGAACAACAACAACACTTACCTCTTATATACATTCCTGTGTGTTTTGTTTTGTATCTGCATAGTTCTCTCTTTCTTTCTTTTTTTTTTTTTTTTTGGTCGCGGTCTCTTTCTTTCTTTCTATCTCCCTCTCTCTCTCTCTCTCTCTCTCACTCCGTATGTATGCATTGGTCATTACTTCAAGGAGCGGGAAAGAGAGTCTTACGATTAGTGTATCTCGAGCACCTCAATAGAAGACTGAGCGTGTTCATCCTTACATTGCACTAATAGTAGCAAAATTCTTTTAATTACACCCAAGACTTAAGTACTCTATAAAATCCTGGCATGTAAATCAAATGAACGACACTTGACCATCATTGGATAACTTGATTTGTCGTGTATGTATCATATTTTTTTGAAGCAGAAAAACAACAAAGGAATTAAGATGAATCTCTTTGGTTATGAATGCACGCACCTTCCACTTATAATTCCCATCATTTAAATGTAACTAATACCAGGGTTACGAAAAGAAATTCCCGAAAGGTATACCTTCTTCCTTAGTAGTTATTAAGTCATGATTCCGGAATATTGTAAATTGTATATAACTTTGCACTATTAAATCATGATTTCTTTCATGAGAGCAATGCTTGTTACAAAAATGTAAAAATAAAAAAAAAAATAAAAACAGTGTAACGGAGTTGCGAGTTATGTGCAGTTCCTTAAGGAAAAACAGAAGGATTCTAACTCGCTTTTAAGCTTATAAATGCCGTACAAAAACAGTTTTTAAAAGCGCTTACGTATTGTGCACTAACAACAAGAAACAAACAAAAATGAATAATGAAATTTAAAAACACAACTTTACAGTTGAGTCATTCTTATATTATATACGCAATAGGCCATGTAGTTGATATTTCTGGGCTCCTTCCGATTTCTATTCGAGTGACTTAAGGCGGCCATTTCCGCCGCCAACGAAAGATGCAATGGATTCAAATACCAACAGTGATAATACTTTCGATTAATAATAATTCAATAATTCGCTTTATGTTGCAATTATATTAAAGGATAAGAAAAATTCAATCCGCAATGTAAAAAATGAATACATAAATAGCTTATATATAGCATACATCATATGCATATGTATAATAATATATAGGTTAAGCTTGATAAATTCTTGATATTCGAGCCGTATACTACTTTCATAAGACGACAGCCGCAAAACTCATAAAACTTAATGCATTCCCTTTGCTATGTGCGTCATCAATTTTAGAAAGCTTTCATTGAATTTGTAAGTAAGTGGGCAGTGTATTAATTTGTTTCGCAACGAAAATGAAAGTTTCACTATTTGTTTGTTTATTTGTATGTAGTACAAATGTTTGAAATGTTTTTTTTTTTAAGTAACTAACAGCGGTTTTTTGACAACGCTGTCTAAAAGGACTTCCTCAACTAGTAAAAAAGTTTTGAAATTAATTATTTTTTTGCATTACTTACGTAACGTACATAACTAAAGCATGTTTTCAATTTTAACATAAATTGTATTTGAACCAAGACGCTCTAAACAAATATATATTCCAAACACTGACAAACCGCTTGTATATCTAATTATATATTTTATTGTAATTGTATTGCCAAAGAGAAATAATTTTATTGTATTTCATTTTCTTTTCCTAAAAAAAAAAAAAAAAACAAAACAAACAAACAAACAGCAAGCTTTCGATATCTTGGGCTTCACTCGCGATGAAAAAGAGAACGTGTACAGAATTACAGCCGCTGTCATGCATATGGGTGGTATGAAGTTCAAGCAACGTGGTCGCGAAGAGCAGGCTGAACAAGATGGTGAAGAAGAAGGTGGCCGTGTTGCCAAGTTATTCGGTTGCGATACCGCCGAATTGTACAAGAATTTGTTGAAACCACGTATTAAGGTCGGTAACGAATTCGTCACCCAGGGTCGTAACGTACAACAGGTCACCAACTCTATTGGTGCCCTTTGCAAGGGTGTATTCGATCGTCTATTCAAATGGCTGGTTAAGAAGTGTAACGAAACTTTAGATACCAAACAGAAGCGTCAGCATTTCATTGGTGTACTGGATATTGCTGGTTTTGAAATTTTCGACGTATGTATTTTGTTAACCAAACTGATTGAAAGACAACAAACACACACACACACACACACATATATATATATATATATATATATATATACACATACCTAATACGATAACTATTGATCACACTCATAACAATAACACTTAAGAGTAGATATGATCTCGAATTCTTCTTCGAACTCTAAACAATTACATAACTTTTTTATTTTGAAGAACGTCACACTGGCTAGGAAGACTCTAAGAAGCAGTTAGATGAGAAAACTTAAATCTTTTAGATTGTTTTTTTTTTTCTTTTTTTACCAATTGAAAGCCTTCTTCATCCCAGTTTTTGCAAATTTCATTTGAAATCTTGAAACGAAACCTAACTTAGCAGAGATGTAAAGTTCTTTGAAAATTTTTTTGTTTTTTTTTGAAATTTTTAAAAAAGGATATTTTTATAGACCTTTTTGTTTTATTTCTTCTAAATTGTTTTGCTGGATGTTTTTTTTTTTTTTTTTTATTATTACACATTACCAGAAACATATATTTAGTGCAAGACTAGAAGCTATAAGCTATTACTGAGTAAAATCCTCTCACAAGTCTCTTTACAACACTTGGACAACATTACTCTGCAATCCAAGGAAAGCGATCGCTTTCCGTGAATTCCATTACTTCAATTATTTTACACTAGAGTTTGTTTTTTTTTTTTTTGCTAAAATAAATCTATATTTAAATGTAAAAACGCTTTAGTACAACGGTTTCGAACAATTGTGTATCAACTTCACCAATGAGAAATTGCAACAATTCTTCAACCATCACATGTTCGTATTGGAACAAGAAGAATACAAGAAAGAAGGTATCAATTGGGACTTTATCGATTTCGGTATGGACTTGTTGGCTTGTATCGATTTGATTGAAAAGGTGCCTATAAGTAAAAATTAATTGGCCCCATTCCGTGAAGTCTATATATTACACATTGTTTTATTTACGTTGTGTATGTGATTATTCCAAGTGATGGCACTTTAGTCCTTGTTCATGTGTACGCATTAAGTATGCTTTGTTTATTCGCACCCATACCATCTTATTTTATATATATATCAATGGATCTGCATTCAGTTCATTTAGCACCTTTTGATCGGTCAATCTATATATGGTCAGAGCAAGTAAGCGGTACGATTATCGAACAATTATCCACTGATGCACTGTGTTTTGTACAAATCCAATCCAATCCAATATTACACATTCTTTTAAGTTTTATGCTTACACACAAGCATGTTTTCTCTACATTTAATATGTTATGTAATGTCACGCACCGCCCTTTTAATGTTTAGTACAATGGTTTTGAGCAATTGTGCATCAACTTTACCAATGAAAAATTGCAACAATTCTTTAACCATCACATGTTTGTGCTGGAACAAGAAGAATATAAAAAGGAGGGCATTGACTGGGACTTTATCGATTTCGGTATGGACTTGTTGGCCTGTATTGATTTAATTGAAAAGGTTTGTCTGGCAACCTCTACGCTATTCCTTTACACTCTACACAACTATTCTACTCTAATCTTGCCTAATGACAAGAAGAGAAACAATTCAAGCAATATTCGTTATCGATAATAATAAGACTTATTTCTTGGAATGTGCTTACTATGTATATAAAAATGTGTTTTAGTTTATAAACTATATGGCTGAAACAAAACTTGGCGAAATTTTTGACGTTAACCAAGTGCGTCTGTGTGCCTGTCATCCATATGCCCGAAACGCTTATCGTTGATCAAAAAGCGTACAATCCCCTTTCCAGGTTTACTAATCGAATCAAATCATAATCATTCATAAGTCATTTAATCATTTAATAATAATTTACTTCCTAAAATCATAATGACAACAACAACATATATGAATGTGTTATCATCTTGCTCTCTCTCTCTCTCTCTCTCTCCCTCTCCCTCTCTCTGTCTCTTTCTTTACCTACAAAACATATTTTATTCCGTTTTCGGTAAACAGTTCAACGGTTTCGAACAATTGTGCATCAATTTCACTAATGAAAAATTACAACAATTCTTCAATCATCACATGTTCGTTTTGGAACAAGAAGAATATCAACGCGAAGGCATCGAATGGACCTTTATTGATTTTGGCATGGATTTACAATTGTGTATTGATTTAATTGAAAAGGTATACATACTTACATATAAATGGAACTATTACTGCCAATTGCCAGCCAGTATTCAACTGCTCTTCTCTTAATTCGTAGATCGTCTAAAAAAGAAAGTTGCAACAAAAAATTAACTCTTAATACACAATTGTGCGCGCTCAACCTTTCATTCTCTTTCGCTCCATTCTTTTTGCTCATATATCAACTTTTCCTTCATTTTTACTGCAAACTACAACGAAAAAAAGGGAACGATTATCACAATCGAAAAGCAAAAAAACATAAAAAAAATAAAAAAAAAAAAAAATAAAAAAAAAACTAAAAAAAAAATGATGAAAAAATTCTATTCATTCCCTTTAAACATAATCTGCGTAGTCGTCTCTTATTTAACTTCAAACTTTCTCCAAATCATTCTGTAATATATGTTTGTAAATTGTCTGAAGAATTCTTTATACTTTCTCACTAATTTTGTTCTCTAATGTACATTTTAAAAGGAATCTTTATTTACTACTTTAACATGCACCAAGATATCCGGTTTGAATGGCATATTAAATGACATTTGAAAAATGCAAATCAGAATCCATTTCCGATTTGAAATCGCAAAAATTTGTTAAAGGAAACAACCTACATTTAATATGTCATAGCAAACTTAAGACTTCGAATGTAACGATAACGCTTTCTTTCTAACCAAAGGTAAGTTAACTCTATGTCTAATTATGTTCTCTTGTTAATGTCTATCTATCTCTTTCCTTTCTTGTGCATTCCTTTTGAGTTCTTCATTTTTCACGTGCAAAATTTTTAATCAAGTTTTTGTTTTCTTTTCTCAAAATTTTATATCATATGTTAGCCTATGGGCATCTTGTCCATTCTTGAGGAAGAGTCTATGTTCCCTAAGGCTACTGATCAAACCTTTGCCGAAAAATTGGTTAACACTCACTTGGGCAAATCGGCTCCATTCCAGAAGCCTAAACCACCAAAGCCCGGTCAACAAGCTGCTCACTTTGCCATTGGCCATTATGCTGGTGTCGTAGCCTATAATATTACGGGTTGGTTGGAAAAGAACAAGGATCCCTTGAACGATACTGTTGTCGATCAATTCAAAAAATCAAAGAATGCTTTATTGATTGAAATCTTCGCCGATCATCCTGGCCAATCGGGCGGTGCTGATCAAGCTAAGGGCGGTCGTGGTAAGAAGGGTGGTGGCTTCGCTACTGTATCTTCGGGTTACAGAGAACAGTTGAACAGTTTGATGACAACTTTACGCTCGACACAGCCTCACTTTGTACGTTGCATCATTCCAAACGAAATGAAACAGCCCGGTGTCGTTGACGCTCACTTGGTAATGCATCAGCTAACTTGTAACGGTGTACTTGAAGGTATCCGTATTTGCCGTAAAGGCTTCCCCAACAGAATGGTGTACTCTGACTTTAAACAGCGGTGAGTATATATGTTCTTAGCAACGGAAGGTCATCTATTTCTTTTCTCTTTTTTTATTTTTTGTTCTCTTTTGTTGTTATTGTTCTTTTTTTTGTTTTTTTTTTTTAATTGTATTAAGAAAGTTTGAGAGAATTTTAATTAGGCGACAGTTGTGCTGTAAATTGTTTGTCCATTAGTGGTTGTAGATGTAATGGAAAAATGCGAAAGAATTCAATTTAAACCTGAGTTTATTAAAACGTTTGTTTTTCTCTACTTAAATTAGTTATATGATCTTGGCTCCAGCTATTATGGCTGCAGAAAAGCAGCCCAAGAAAGCTGCTGAAAAATGTTTGGAATCCGTTGGTTTGGATCCTGATATGTACCGTATCGGTCACACAAAGGCACGCAAGCTATAATTTTGCTTTCTTTTTTTTATTTATGTAGAACATGTAGTGTTGTAGCACATAATATAATGTACTGTGCCACCTACACGCACACAGTCTATCCCCCCTTGTGTATTCTGTAAAATTTTCTCTTTAGATACCTTCACCTTCGTAGACTTTATTATATTTCCCAAGTGAATGGAATGATTTGTATTTCCCTTATGTATTCATGATAATGATAATGGTAATAATGATGATGATAATCACAATGAAGTAATACACCGTTTTGTCGAACACACATGTAATTTTTATTCGCTGATATGTTTCACATTTTTTTATTATTAAATTATTTCACCTTAGTTTACTATCCTTGCCTAAACGATTGATTCCTTATCTTATTCGGGATATGATTAATTGATATGTGTATCTGTAGTAAAATTTCATCTTTTGTACGTATACTTGTTTAGTTCGCACAAATTTTGTAAAAAATTGGAAAATAGCACAAATAGTTTTAAAGTAATATAGTTGTTGGTACAAGTAATGTAGTAATTCAATCCTTAATTTTTCTTCTTTTGTTTCATTTTTTATTTATTTTTTATTTATTTATTTAATTTTAAAATTAAAGTTTTTTTTTTTTTTTTTTTGTTACTTAGCACTACAGTAGTTGTTGCGTAGAATTAATATTTTTTGATATATAATCAGAAAATATTGGAATATGGAAAATGTGGAAATATTTTTTAATTTTATTATATCTCACGTGAACGCATGTTTGAAACTCAACCGTTATTACGAATAGAAAACTGGAAAAAAATTTCGTCATACAGATTAGCTTCCTATAGTATCTGAGTATAAAAAAGTAAAAATCAATGCAAAGTCTTTAACATAGATAACATAGGCAAATAGTTACTTCTCCCGCCGGATAAATACGTTCCCAGCTATATAAGCTTGCAGCCTTCGTAATCTTATTGCTCTATAAAACCAAAGACAATGACAAGGGTTTCCTTGCTTTCATATGACTTAATTTCTCTAAAAATAACTTCAACTTAACTGCTGAGATCTTCTCTGCCAAGTTGACTGGCTATATGAGGATAAGTCAAAAACGAGTTCGCCATGAACAAACCGATAATGATACCTGCCAGAAAGGTTCTCCATCCACGCCATTGGATAAAATGATTTTAAGTCCATATAGGCAATCAACTACACAAAATATTACGGACATCTGTACAACGATTATGGGAACAAGGAATATATCTTTGATATTTATCTAACTAATAGTCTTAGCAATGTTGACGGGGTCTAGTTTAGTTCAGTGTTCTTAGCCGCGTTATCCGGATAACAGCCATTGAAAATGCATACATTCCATACATATTGAATTGCATTGATGACACAGGGCGGAATATGTCACTTTCGCTGTTATACACACACACCACTTGTTGTACACGGATATATTAAGTTCGCGTGGATGTAACACACAGGGAGGACTTGACAGAGAATCATCTTTTATTATGCCGACTGATCCATTATCATTTTTTGAAATAATTTTTGATTTAAGCTTGTCCGTCCGTCTTGTTTTCTTGTGCTCAACCTATAGGTCTTAATTTTTGAGATATTTTCATGAAATTTGGTCAACGGGCATATTTGAACGTTGTTGAAAATGGTTCAGATCGGATCACTCACCACTACATAAAATAAAGCTTTATTTTGAAAAGTCGCTATATGGATAACTGTATGAAACGAAATGGTGTAAGGTACGAATTAAGTTTGCTTTTTTCCATTTCCGAGTGATTCATGCACTAACCGATCGATGTACCTAAACAAGAAAGTCTTTAGCTAGCATCGACCGCAGTAGGCAGACATGGTAGCAATGCCGTTATCGTGTCCCATCGCGTAACAAAGTATAACTCTAAAGGGGGGGAATTATTGTCAACATCTCGTTTTTTTTTCATTCCAGTTAATTATGTTAAAGCGAAAACCTTAATCGAAAAAAGAAATTGTATTTTAATATTTTCTTTTTTTTTATAATAACGGTTGACTTTGTATTTTTGTTATTTCCTTTAATTTCACTGAACATTTATTGATCACAGTTTCTCTTTTTTATATATTTTTTATTATTCAATTGTATGCCTGTAAATACTTGATCTTAATAGGTATCAGATCCTTTGTCCGGCTGGCATAAAGGGTGTGGATGATCATAAGAAAGCTTCGAAAATCCTTCTCGAGTCCACTTCATTAGATCCCGATATGTACCGTATTGGTCACACTAAGGCACGATATTTTATTTGAGTTGTCACTTTACGCACTCCTTCCTCACTATCTTTGATTTCTTATTTCTCTTCTTTTCTTCTTATCCTTTGGAATGCGAAACCAAAAATGGGAAAAAGCAATTTGACTGCTTATGTATGTTTGAAACGTTTAAATACTCTTCACAATGTGAATGTGAATGTGAAGAAAACAAAAAGAAAAAAAAGAAAAACCATTACCTTGGAAAAGCTGAAAAGCAAAAAAACAAAAGCCTTTTACTTCGAAGGTCTCTTGCATGTGGTTTTGTTGTTGATAAGAAAACTTGCAGCAATCAAAAGAAACAGAACAAAAACAGAAACAAAACTCGATACATGCAACAAACGATTAAGTTTCCTTTCACTCTTTTATAAACATGACAATAATAAGTTGTACTCATTCTTCGCAGCCCCACAATGCATACATATATACGTACAATTTAATACAATATTATACATATATACATATATATATAAATATATATAAATATTTTATAAACACATTTCACAGCTATCAGATATTGAATCCTAAAGGCATTTTGGGACAAGGCGATCCCAAAAAATGTTCCAAGATTTTATTAGAATCCACCGCACTAGACCCAGATCAATTTCGTCTGGGCAACACAAAGGCATGTTCAATATTCTTATTGTTTCGATTGCTTTTCTTTAGACACAAGTAGATGCCACACATATATATTTTATCACTTTACCATCTCGAAGGAAAACTGAATTGTATCAGAAAATCTCTTCATAAATTGTCACAAAAGAGTAAAACGCCATACACGCAATCAACCTACACTTTAAGTCAATTTTAATACAGATATAGTAGCAAAGCTTTTTTTATGATTTTTTGATTTGTAAACACGTAGCACTCACTTATTTTTAAAACTCAATTATTCTTGATATTTTTTTTTTTTGTTGTTGTTGTTGAAAATTTCCCCCCGAAAATTTGTATTTTCATTGTTATAAATTTATATTGCAACACCTGAAACACGCTGCAGCTATCAAATTCTAAACCCAAGAGGTATCAAGGGTATGACTGATCCCAAAAAGTGCACGAAACTTCTGATCGAGTCCACCGAATTGGGAGAAGATCAATACCGCATGGGTAACACAAAGGCATGCATCCAATCCAATCAATAATTTTACATAAATTATATATAAAAACACATGTACACAAACATTACATTATTTTATCATTAATATGCGATTTGGTTAAAGCAAGTAAAAAACTTGTTCAAAACCTAAGCTTAGATGAAAGGGCAAAAATACCTAAAGACTTTAAAGCCTAATGAACCCATTTTTCGATTTTTTTTTCTTTTTGGTTTTTTTTCTTTTCTACTTACTTAGTTGAAATCCTTTAGTATTTAGAGTTTTGTATTTCTTTTTTATTTCTAGTAGTGTTTTGTGATTCTTGTTTTCAAAAAAATTGCAATTTTAATCAATATTTACCTTTTTTTTTACCTATTTTACTAACCATGTTTACATTTTTCTTGCCTACCCTCCTCGAAAAATAAAAATAATAATCCTTATCCTTTACCAACACAATAACCATCGCAAATACACGCATACAGCTACAAGATTATGTGTCCAAAAAAATTGCTTGGCGTTGACGATCCCAAGAAGGCCACACAAATTATCATTAATTATATCGATTTGCCCGACGATCAATTCCGTCTTGGCAATACTAAGGTATATCATAGACAATATACTCTCTTCATATAAACCGTATACCATTGTAAGCACGCAATACGCACGCTTTCATATTCTCGATATGCACAAATAATCAGAAACAAAAAATCATTTATTAAAAATATCTACAAACACAATTACAATAACATGTATGTGCTTAAGAATTTTTATCTTCTTGTATACAAACATTGTACAAAGCATGTCTGTCCTACGTGTTCATTTATTATCTGAATTATTTTATATATTTATGTATTATTTACCTTATTAGTGTCTATGCTTGTACTTCTAATCATTTTTCTGAATATCTTCTAATCGCTTTTAGATGTTTCGCCAACAGAAATGATTCTAATTCGGATAAATAATTCGAAACTGATCGAAACGAAATAAATTATATAACGACTTGTTCTCGTTGGTGACAGAAAGATTTTAAATTAAGATAAAAAAAAAAAAAAATATTAATAATAATAATAAATGATAAAATATAAAAACAAAACAAATAAATAATGCTAAATATAAGAAAATAAGAAAAATAAATAAATATATCATAAAAAAATA